ATTTCTACTATCTTCATCCGAAGTCACAAGTGAATATCTTTCTCCTACTTCACTTTTTTTCTCACATCCATGGAATAAAACATCTAATACCCTATTAAATTTTCTTTTAGACTGATAATAATTAAATTATCAATCAAAATCAGAAGACAACCAATTTTAGAATCAGTCGGTGGTCTCTCAACGTAAGCAAGGTCAAGTGACTTCAAACACATCGAAGTGTGAGCCCACCAAATATTTATCAAGTCTATTGGAATCTATTATGGTCGTTAAGACTCTAGATTTAGTCAAAAGTTCAATATGACTAAATAATTGAGCTTTGCAGACATGTTTCATATTCATAACACCACTAATCAAGATGGATAAGATCGTTGATCCTTAAATTGAAAAAGTTATGCATATATTGAGGAGTAAACAAGACACATGCCAAAATGCAGAAAATACTAATCAAATTCTCAATACCACATATTTTAAAGAGAGAGAATAATCATACAGTATCTCACCTAAATAGATGAATAAAATATTCACGTAAACAGACGAATAATACAATATTTTATATAGGACAAGAAATTATGATCATTAGAAAAATTTCTCAATCAATTACCATACTTTATAAACTTTTAACAATATTCAACCGAATCTCTATTATTAGACTTTCAAATTTTGATTAGAAATTAAACTCATAAGAAAGAGTAATCCAATACATCATGTTTTCCAAAAAAAAATGTAATGTAAGTTGACCTCATTTTCATACCCTAAGTTCTTCTTTAATTATTACTTTTAAAAAAAATTATGTTTTTTTAATTATTATTTATAAAGTTTAATGTAATAATGATTATAATTTTATCAAAATTATCTATAATTATTTATTATGAAGAAAGAAAAAAAGTGTATTGAAATAATTAAAAATTATAAATATTATAGATAAAAGAAAAATTATATCATAAAAAGTAACTATAGTTATAAATTTCTTTGATATGTATAAAAAATCAAAAAATGATAATTAAAAAAGAATGGAGAAAGTACTTTCAGAGTGATCATTACTTTCTTTATTGCTTATTTTGACAGATATCCTGTGGGTAACTAGATCAATCTATAGGCCATTAAGAGGCATATACCCAATGGAAAATTAAATTAAAAAAACTTTACTCACTTACATTATCTTTGCATATCACAGGACCACAACCACAGATTTGAATCCCATCTAAACTTTACACTTTTTAATCTCAATATATATTCTTCAGAATTATTCACACTTATGCTTATGCATGTTCGTGGAGCCAATCACTTTTTATAACACTTTGCATACATTACAAAATAAAAAAAATAAAAAAAATAAAGAATGAATAAGCTATTAAGGAAATGACTGTTTAGTAAGGGATACGATAAAAATTCAACATTATAATAATACATGAATTCAACATTATAATAATACATGAATTTCATTTCATGCTTGGAAAACTACATATGCATAACATAGGTTAAAAAATAGATATTTCTTTTAGCATTAACTTTGAGGTGATTCAAATGTTGAATACGACTAACGTGAATAAAGAGATGATACTTTTATAAATAATTCATGCAAAATACGCTTTTGAGAGTAACCACGCGATTTGGTTCATAAGTGAGACTTGCATATGTTAATATACTCCTTAAAATTAATGAAAATTAAAAAATTAATATATATATATATGTTATTGATAATTTTATTATTTAAATGTTTGAATTCAATCATAAAATATAATAATATTAATTTTTTTGAAAATTATGCTTTTTAATATAGTTTTCTTCTATTTAAGAAATTAATTTGAAGTTGCATATATATTTATTTATTTTAAATAATTAACAAAAAACACATACCAAAATCAAACTGTTGAACAAAAAAAACATTTTTATACTTAAAAATAAAATATAAGAATTGTATAGAAAATCTTAATATAAAATTTAACAGTCTTTAAGTAGAATATTTTTGAAGAAAAAATTAATTATATTTTATAAAAATCAAGTTTATTATAAATGTGTTCTGTTTTATGGTGAAAAAAAATTGATTTTAAATGAATGAATTATTATAAAATAAAGTCATGTTAAATGTGATTTGTCTTAGTTCATGAAGAGAAGTATTAAATATTAGGATAAGAGTAACACACAACTGAGAGAGACACTACATATTTATCCAAAATTTTAAGGTGATAGAGGTGTGGACTCTCTCACTTATAAAGTGCTCAATTTTCTTTTTTCTAATTAATGTGAGACTACTTCCTCACACTTAGTTCTCAACACTCCCTCTCAAGTGTGAGTCTAATGCTCCCCCTCAAGTGGAAGCTCTTTTTTCCACATATACTTGTACCGCCGTTAACACTCTTTAACGAAACACCTCATATCCACCACACGTGGGAGTACTTTTGATACAAGTAAGTCGGTCCCTTCACTCGAAACCAAAAACTCATGATATCACTTGATGGATCAAGCGCTTACCACTAGACCAAAATAAATTGTTGTTAGTCAGGGTGCAACTATCTTTCCTTATAGTGAATCATGGCCTACCAAGCCAACCTGACAAGAGGCCCACCTGGCCCACCTAACACACCTGTGTAGGCTCCCATGAGTGAGATGTTAAGCCCATTAAATCCCTCATGAAGACGCTGGATTAAATAATCTAACAATCCCCCCATCGCCAGTCGGGGGAATTTAAATCCATGACCATGCTCTGATACCACTATTAGTTCATGAGGAGGAGCATTAAACATTGGGACAAGAGCAACACACAAGTGAGAGAGACACCACATATTTATCTAAAATTTTAAGGTGATAGATGTGTGGACTCTCTCACTTATAAAACACTCAATTTTCCATTTTCTAATCAATGTGAGACTACTTCCTCACACTTGATTCTCAACACTCCCTCTCAAGTGTGAGTCTAATACCCCCCTCAAGTGGAAGTTCTTTCTTTCACATACACTTGTACCGTTGTTAACACTCTTTAATGGAACACCTCTTATCCATCACATGTGGGGAGTATTTTTGATACAAGTAAGTCAGTCCCTTCACTCGAAATCAAAGGCTTTAATACCATTTGTTGTGGGGAGTTACTAGGAGCATTGCTACAAAGTTGAGGAACGATCACCTTTGTGGGAGACACACCACATATGCATATTTCTTGTCTCTTGTTGGTTGAGCTTACAAAGCCACATCACTCTTTGATTTGCTTGCAGCTCTTTCAGCCATTCTTTGTTCGTGAGATTCAAGCGTTTCTTGAAGCTCTTCCTTCGACAAAGATGACATGTCCTTCGACTCTTCTATGGCAACTATCACATGGTCGAATTTCGGAACCAAAGATCTTAAGATCTTCGAAATAACTGTCCTTGTTGTTAATGTCTCTCCACAAGTCTTGATTTGATTCACTAGTTTCGCAATCCTAGTGAAGAAATCAGATATGCTTTCGCTATCTTCCATCTGAAGCAATTCATACGTTCTTTTGTGAGTTTGTAACCTCACCTTTTTCACCTTCTCAGCTCCTCCAAAATATTTTTTGAGAATCTCCCTTTTTTTTTTGCAGATTCTACATCACTAAACTTTTCGAAATTGTTTGGGCTGACACATTGGTGAATTATAAAGAGAGTTTTATAATTCTTCTTCTTCTTCAGTTCTTTGCATTCCTTCTCTTCTTCTTCTGAAGTGTCTTCTTCAAGCAGTTCTAATCCATATTTCACAAGATCCCAAAGACCTTTAAAACAAAATATAACATTCATCTGTTTGCACCAATTCTCATAGTTATCACCTTTAAGAATTGGGAGATTTGCTGGAAAATTTCTGTTAGCGTAGTTCATCGCCATCGTGAATTTCTTCTTCTTCTTCCTCGACCGTTCTTGATCGCTCTTCCCTTGAATCACTCAACCGAAGCTCTTGATACCAAATGTTGAAAATCCACCAAAACATATGATGAATTTCTACCAATCTTGATGAACAAGATTGATATCACCACACAATGACAATGAAAAGTAAAAGATGAAGAAAGAAAGTATTTTTCTGCAGAGTTTCTCTCTGCCCACAAATTGTAGAAAACTTTATTATTCACTTTGCAACTGCAAAATTCTGTGAATATAATGAGTTGATTGACTTGATTACAAAAATATGGGTTACTCCATCTATTTATAGATTTAGGTTAGCTTGCTCTCTAAGCCAAAAGCCCAAAACTATAAAAGCCCAAAATACCTATGTTAAAACTAAATCAAATTTATCTATCTTAGATTTAAATCAAATCTATCTAATTTAAATCTAAATCAAATATAATGTAACAAACTGTTTCTACATATCTAAATCAAATCAAATCAAATCTTTTTCAATACTCCCTTATCTCTGTCAAACAAACTGCTTCGACACAAGAAATTACTTTTAACAATTTGAATATAAAGTGATTGGTGTTTAAATAATTCTTTTTATAAATAATAAATTGAATAGGAAAATTGAATATAAAATTTATATTTAGAGTAAAAAATTACAAATTTTAACTTCAAAATAAAATTAATTCTAAAAAATACAATCAATTAATATACTACAACAAAACATGTCAAAATTAATTTCCAATCCTTAAACCAAACATACATATGATCAATTCTACTTTAGAGATTCACTTTTATGATACCTTTCATAAAATTTAAGCCAAATATATACTTCATATTTTTTAGTCAAATTAATTTAATGACAAAAACTCCACATTTTAAATATGAAATAAAATAAATATTGCAAATTGGAATCCACACTTCTATTATAAAAAATCTATCATGCATCTATCTATTGAGAATGTGATGTAATCAAGTTTTTTCTATATAAATTCAAACTTAAATTCAAAGATTGGCAAACATAACATAGACTTTCAAAGAATACCCTTCTCTCTCTTTCCTTGAGGAAGCTCAATTTCCAATAGGCATCTAACTCCATATTCACCAAGTTCAAAACAAACACAAATAGAGAAAAAACAAATCATCACAAAAAGACTCACACATATGAAAATTGAAATGTCCCAAAAACAAGCCACTTTAGTTCACATAGATGAAGACTACATTGACATGGAACTAACATCTCCCACAAATTTCTTCTCTTATTCCTTTGGTTCTCCATCAAACAACCCTAGAGAATTTGAATTCCAAATGAGTTCAATCTCAAATGAAAAAGATTCCAAAACTACCCCTGCTGATGATCTCTTCTACAAAGGTAAACTCCTCCCTCTTCACAGCCCTCCTCGTCTTCAAATGGTTCAAAACCTTCTACAAAACACCAACTTAGAACACTCTACTAGTACTTCTTTTCCTTTCACACCTCCCTCTTTTTCTACTTACACCCCTCTAGATTCCTGCAATATTTCATCCTCAGAATCATGCAGGGTTAGCAGTGAAGTGAACCCAGATGAGTATTCCTTCGAAATGAACCCCCTTGTTGTTAGTGATTCACCAAAGATTAAATCTTGGCCTAAGAAACTCAAAATGATGAACCAGTTACTCTTTGGTCAAAAACTCAAAGCTTCAAAAGCTTATCTGAAATCCTTGTTCAACAAATCTGGTTGTTCAGATAAACCATCATGTGCTAATGATCCAAACAAGGTGGCATTTGTAATGCAAAACAAAAACAAGACAAAAAACAAAAACCCATTTGAGATTTTCTATGAAGATGATAAGAAACAAATGAAAAGAGAGATTGTTGAAGAAGATGACTTTGTGAGTCATAGGAAATCTTTCTCTGGTGTTGTTCAAAGACAATATTGTGCTAACAAGTCCTCGTCTTTATCGACATCTTCATCCGGGTCTAGTTCGAATTCTTCGTCTTTTTCTTTTAGTTCAGCTGGGTACTATGATTTACAGTTGTTTAAGAGAAGCATTAGTGCTAATTATGAGTTGGAAGGTTCAATTGAAGGCGCTATTGCACATTGTAAACAGTCTCAGTCTCAGTCTCAGTCTCAGCAACAATGTTGTTCAAAGAATGGTTCTTCAGATGATGATGCTAGGATTTGTCCTCAAATTGTTGCCACAAAAGTTGCAGTTTGTGAAGATAAAGAAACTACTGAAACAAGCAACACAGTGTGAGTGAGTGAGTGAGTGTAGAAAGTGCTGTAAAAAAAAAAGAGAAAATTTTCCTTTGAAATGTTGTTGCATTTTAATGGAGTTTGATGTTTTGGTTTTGTTTTAAAAGAGTTGTCTTTGAAGTGTTAATTTGTTCAAAACTGATATTATGGTTCTTATGAGTTCTATCTGTCCTATTTTTCATAGTACTACACAACTGAATCACTCTGAAGTAGTACTATCAATATTATGATGATTAGATGAAAGGAATAATTCATTTGGGAAAAAGTAGTAATAGCTTTTTTGTTTTGGTTTTAGTTTTTCAAAAGACTTTTACTGTAGTAGTGATCAATTCAAGAGAATCTTAATAGCAAAGTATAGCTAGGATAGACATCTAGTTTGTTTTCTTATGTTAGAAATTTGACAAGTTGAAATAGGTACAAAACTAAATCCTTTGATTAGAATGGAAATAGATCCTGAGTGGTAACATGATTATTTGACCATGATAATAATAAAATTTGATTCCTTTTTAATTGACTGTAAAAAAGTCATGTGCTAAAACTGACCCTTTTTCCCAATGCAGATTCTCAATCACTGTTTATGACTTTATGATCTGCCACTGCCATTATCTTTTCAGAGTCTTCAACAGATAGATAATGGTACTATTTGTAAAAGTATCAAATTTTTATCCTTTTTTACACACTTTCTTTCTACCACTACTTTTTAAATATATTAGTTATTCAATAAATCTAAAAAGAGAATTTCTGATCATAACATATTTATACAATTTTCAACATATTTATAAGATTAATTTAATAAAAGTGTATTATCTGATGATAACATTATTATATTTTTTTAATATGTGTACAAAAATTTTAAATGACGCTCATTTTGATGCAGAGAAAATAAAACAAATAAATTAAGATAAGCTCTATGAGAATGAGTGGTGTCATTTTGAAGATGTTGATGAAATGATTATGTATTTAGCACCTGAAACCTTTTGTTTGACCACTTGATCATTATTAATAGTGAAATCACAGCAAATCAGCATGGTTGATTGTAGATTAAAGCTAAAAGTATTGTAATTATGTGGTCTTGTTGCAATTACCAAAGTGATTATGATCACAATATCATGTAGTAGTACTACTAGTATTCTTAAAAACATCATAGGACTTGTATTTTTGTTGGTTATGAGAAAGCTATGTATCTATGTATCTATTTGTGCAGCTAGATGTGGGGTGGTGGCAGACAAATGAACCACTAGGTGTGCAAGTCTTTCTTTCAATTGATTTTGACTAAACATTAAATTACGCGTATGTTAAGAGGCTGAGGAATCACATGTGAAAATAATTTGGATGTTGTAGGTATAAGTGAATGTTGCAGGGAACCTACTAGACAAACATATAGAACCAAGTGCATAGAACAATAATTTCTTTTCCCCACAGTTGTCTTGCCTTAGTTCTCATAAACGAGATAATAGTCCCTTCTTTATAAGTTTAAGATAATAAATACTATATCTAACCAATTTTATTATAGATTAATTTACTAACAAGCCATTTCTTAAATGTCCCAGAGTATTTTTTTAATCGATGGGGAAATGATTTATTAAATATCAAGTATGATCAATGAGTGAAATGTTGAATTTATAAAAAAGATTATTTATTTATATATATATATATATATATATATATATATATATATATATATATATATATATATATATATATATATATATATATATATATATATATATATGATGTCTTAAGATTTTAGATAGAGATCTGACATCTCTATCTCTTATGATCCTAGAGCATTAGTCTCAATGATGTTTTTGATTTCTTCGGTCTCCTCAACTAGAATTACCTTTAATCTCCCTTAAAGGGGTATAGATTCTCTCCATTTCTTAAAAGAATGAAAAAAGTCTCCCCAACTAGAATTACTTTTAGTCTCCCTTAGAGGGGTAAAGGTCCTTTCCATTTCTTAAAAAATGAAAAAAAAAATCAATTACTAATGTTTTGAGTATATAAGAGTCAAATTACTAATGTGTATTACATTTAAAACTTTAGTAATTATCGTACATCTATGTGTTTGCATGTATACTCAAGAAGTGATTTAAGATGGTAAAATCTATGAATATCAAGTATACAAGTCAATCGGTAGCTGCTTTATTTTGATGGTGATAATATTTGAAGTCAAACAATTGTTGAAGAGATAACTCAAGTGGTCAAAGATGCACAAGATGGCTGATTAAGTTATCCTTTCAAATCAAGATAATTATTTGTTTAAATTCAACATTATAGTCCAAAGACTCTCTAGTGAAGGCTTAGAGTTTATGACCACCAGTAAACTTTTAATCTCTCAGATATCTCACGCCTCTTCAAGAGGACTCGAGGTTCTTGTGCAATTCTAAAATAAAATATAATGATGTCAAGACTTCAAGCTTCAGAGTGTGAAAGAGAGGAAGTGTGAAAGCTCGTCTGATCGTGTCCGTCTGAGTGATTACTGTCTTGTAAAGAAACAAAGGCATTTCTGAAAATATTATGACTAAATCACACACACACACACACAAACACACACTTAAAACATTGATAAATCTATCATGTTTTAATTAAAATCACCAAAAAAATTTTTTTTTTGAGCCTAGCTAGTTGAGTAGGAAATTGTTCAATTGATTAGGAGATTTTTTGCAACCGTCTAATCAAATAGATCTTTGGGATAATCGATTAGATGATGGATTATTAAGTCTATAATCTATTGTAACGGTCTCTTAATGATTGATAATGACTCTGTATCAATATCCTCTATTTTGGCCCAACAATAAATTATTTGCACTGTCTAATCAATTAGACTAATCAATTATGTCATTAATTTGGCCCATGTATTTTTTCCAAAATTACACAAAGTTGACTTATAAATAGAGAAATTTTTGTTAGATCCATAGTGTTGTATCCCAAAATTTTCCCTCCCATTTTTGAAGACAATTGATTCAAGACACCTCCTCATGCTTCTAGGGTTCTCAATTGCTCAAGAATACTCAAGGGTTTAAGCATACAAGCACCTCTCCTAAGCAATGGCCAACAATTAGAGTTTTGGATTTCTCAAAGAAAAATGAGCTTCAAATGCCTCAAGTGAGTTTCATAGTTCCTCATATGCTTTAAAGAATACTCATGCCAAGTTTTAAGTCTTGCATCACAAGTTTGCTCAGTCAATTGCTCAGATGAGTGAAAGTCAACTATATTGAACAAAAAGTAAATTGTGGTCAACATACAATCAAACTTCAATATTTTTGGTCAACATCAAGATTTTGAGGTCAAATTCATCATTTGATCAAAGGTTGATCATGATTCCTCAAGAAAACTCAAGATTCATCAAAAGTCAAAAGTCACTAAATTAGGGTTTTCTTAAGGAGAAGTCAACTGAACTTTGACCAAGCATAACTTTCACATGCTTCATAAGAAAATTCTCAAACAAAGCCTATCTTGAAGGAAATTCAATTCTCTACAACTTTGACTCTCTAAGCTCAATGTAAGTGTTTATTGGCAGCAATTTTGGTAAAACAAATGACTTGTTAATGTTTTGCTAAATGTCTTAACATTTGGAGCAAAACTGTTTTGAATGATATCAAAGCATATGTCTTGACATCTGCCTACTGAACTGATCTCAGCCCAACATCAGTTAAGTCTTTTTGTTTCCTGTTTTCATGCGTGCCATAATTCAGGATTTGTGACCTACAGGCTGCAAAAAATATGGAGGAATATTTTTCAAATTGAATGAATTTTATCTAAGCATATTTTTATGGAAATATTCAAAAGATTTGGATATTTGTTTTTAAGCCCAAGCCCACAGTTGCGCATATATAAGGACTTGCTTCCTTATTCAAAGACAAGCAACTTTTGAAGAAGAATACTTTCTTTCTGATTAGAAGTCTAGGCTTTTTATTTGTAATACACTCTAAGTATTAGTTTAAATACTTGAGTTGTTATTTGGGTTGTTAATTGTGTATCATTCATAAGCTTTTAAGCATTGAATGATTGAAATGTTTCAAACTTATTAATTATGTTAAGTTCTTCACTGTAAGTGATTGAAGGGATTTGAGGATGGCCTCATACCTAGGTGAGTCTTGGGTAGAGGTTTAGCTTGGGTAGTGATTAAGTGATTAGATTGTAAACTGGTTGTTTACTGAGGGTCTATGAATTGATATTATTTAGTGAACTTGTCCCTAGCTTGGTAGCCCGCAGAGTAGGTGTTGTTTTACACTGAACTGGGTGAAAAATCTCTTGAGTTTTTACTGCTTTTGATTTTACTGCACCTTACTTGCAAACAGATATTTGTGTCGTGACATCTTATTCGACATTACATATATGATACCAGAATTTCAATTGGTATCAGAGCAGGCATCCTGCTCTTTATCTGGGTGAGATCCAGGGAAAATGCTTTCTGGTACTATAGACAAGGAATGAGGATTTGTTAACAGACCACACATTCTGGATAGAAGCAATTATGACTACTGGAAATCACGTACGGTTGCCTTTTTAAAGTCCTTAGACAACAGGGCTTGGAAAGTTGTTTTAAGAGGACGGAAACACCCTGTCAAATTGGGAGAAAATGGAGAACCTACTTCTGAATTAAAACCTGAAGAAGATTGGTCTAAGGAAGAAGATGAAATTGCTCTTGGAAATTCTAAAGCCTTGAATGCTATATTCAATGGAATTGACAAGAACATTTTCAGGTTAGTGAATACATGTGAAGTTGCTAAGGATGCATAGGGGATTCTTCAATCTACTCATGAAGGCACATCCAAAGTTAAGATGTCAAGACTTCAGTTACTCACCACAAAATTTGAGAATTTGAGGATGAAAGATGATGAAAGTATAAATGAATTCCATATGAACATCCTTGAAATTGCCAATGCCTCCAGTGCTTTAGAAGAGAAAATACCCAAAGACAAATTGGTGAGAAAGATGCTCAAGTCTCTTCCCAAGAGATTTGATATGAAAGTAACTGCTATAGAAGAAGCCCAAGAC